TTGAGCATGTATTATGTTCTAGGAATTGTAATAGGCACTGAGGAAATAAAAATGAGGATGTGTTGCTTAGAGCAGTAGAGATATTTAGTGATGGCGAAAAGACTCAGCACAATCTGTTAGCCATGTGGCAAAGGCAGCTCTATGATCTTGCATAAATTAACTTTTCTAAAGCTCCGTTTTCTCATATGTAAAATGGGAATAATAATACATATAATGCCTACTTTGATTAGAAAATAAAAATATAAAGCCCGACCTGTGTGGCTCAGTGGTTGAGCATCAACCTATGAACCAGGTGGTCACAGTTTGATTCCTGGTCAGGGCACATACCCAGGTTGTGGGCTCCATCCCCAGTATGGGGCATTCAGGAGGCAGCCAATAAGTTATTTTCTCTCATCATTGTTGTTTCTATCTCTCTCCCTCTTCCTTGCTCTCTGAAATCAATAAAATTTTTAAATATATATATATATGTAATATATTTGGCCTATATTAGACACATTTATGGTAGCTACAATATTAAAGGGTTTGGAGAGAGCCAGAGAGTTGTTTCATTCAATAATCAAATTTTCAAACAAATGCTTTAACTGATTGTCCCTCCAATGATTTTTAATAGAATAAGCTATAGGTTTTTGCTTTTGCAATTTCAGAGTGCACCAAAACAGAGATAACAGTATTTCTTCAGATCTAATAAAAATATTCCTTTATATTGATAGTTAACAAAGTACATTTATTTACCCCATTTTGTTTGTCCTATAACAATTACACAGATGAGATATTTATCTAAGGTCACATAGTAAGTAGCAAAGTCCAGCTTGTGTTTATTTTCCTATCTTTTATAGCACTTTTTTTTATCATATTGTGTTTTCTCTCATTATATCATGATGTATTCCAGAAGTATACATCAATAATACAAAATGATATTGAATCTTCCATTTTTATGTAGTTTATATATGAAGAAAGTGGGAAGCTTGAAATTGAATGGGGGAAGATAAGGCAGACAAAATAGAATTTCTTGTCCTATATTATTCATATTGTTCTGCTTTTTCTTAGGTATATTGTTAAGTGTATATAAATTATCATTTTCCTTTACAACTTTATGTTGCACTTATGATTCTGCTAATGTTTCTTTTGGTTTGTCTCCTTGCCTCATCCCTCCATGGTCTGTCAAGTTTCTGCTTCTACTAAATTTCAATAATTTCCTTCCCCTTTATGATCTGCACCCACATTTTTTCCTAATTGGGTTGTCCTCTGTTGGCAATATACTACTTCCTATATATCTTTACTTTCTTTTTTCTTTGACTGTATCAAGTCAATGAATTTACTGCCTTTTCAACCTTTTAATTTCACATGATCCCAGTGATAATTCACTAATAATTATGGCTAGTGTTCATACAGAATTATTCTGAGGTCTCACAGAAATCTAAGTTCTTTCAAAATACTGAAAACTTTTTTTTTTATAAACATGTTTTATGAGCAACACATTGGAGGGTGAGGTGGGGAAAGGGATTGGATCAAACACTATTGTTTATATTTTACAGATTCAGTGAAACAACAAACATTATGTGAGACCTTGTTACGGGCTCTAGCAAGCACAAAGAACAAGACATGGTCTGGGCCCTGAGTAGTTTGCAATCTAGTGAAAGAGAAAGACAAGTATATAAACAACCGCAGTACAAGACAATATTGTTGTAACAATGGCATGAAGTGTGGAGGGAGCCCAGGGACTGTACTAGAGAGCAGAAATTAAATGATTCCTCAAGGTTCGAGGCAACCGAGTAGCAGCTGGACATGGAACTCATTATGTTATGCTGTCAGATGTTTTTGTTTGTTTTATTTTTGCAGAAACAGTCCTGTATCTTAAACATGCAGTAAGTTTTATTGAGTAATATGGAAATGCAACCAGGAGTCACTTCTTTGCACAGATATCTTGGGTGGTTTCTGAAAGTGTGAAATCTACTGTTTCAAAGGCGTGATGGACTTTGGACTTGTGCCCAAAAAGGGAGGGATACAAAGCACAGAGAATCTGTATCCCAGCTCAGATGGGGGTTGAGGACAGCAAACCGAGGTCCGGCAACGTGAGGGAACCCAGGTGACTACTAACTACCTCATTGTAGGAACACAATGGACTAGTATTAATGGAAGAAGACGGCCATGAAAAACGCCATTTCCCATGTCTTCTCCCAGTTTCTTGGAGAGCTCTGCTTTCAGGGGGAACACAATTCTCTTACACCAGGTAATTAAAATGGTCTTTAAAAATTTACTCAATACACGGTCAATGCAAACATTTCAAGCACTATATGGCTAAGTGTACAAAATAAAACTGTAAGTAGCCCTTTACACACACACTTAAACTCCCAGTGCGAAACAACTTGTGGCTGTCTAAACATTTTCTATCCACCGTCAAACACACTCACACATACACACATATAGTTTTTTCTTTCCCCAAATAAAATTGGTGGCATTCCCACAAATTTGAGGTTGCAGACACCATTAAAAGCGTGGGCTTTTGAACCAACCCAGAAGTGGGTCAAATCCTCTCCAGCTTCCCGGCTGTATGACTGCAGGCAAATGACTGCTTTAAGCCTCATTAAAAAAAAATTTTTTTTTTGGGGGGGTGAAGGATAAAAATGATAAATATTTGGTAAGGCTTGAAGATCAAAATCTAGTGCATCTAAATCACTTAGCACAGAGTAAGTGGTCAATAAACATTATTGTCTATACAAGCGACCGTTCTTACTATGAGACTAAAAGTAAGGAAACTTGTTAAATAAATGTTGCGCATTCCCTCCCGCCCCCGCCTCATTATTCTAAGTTCAGAAGAACTGGCTTCTCCACAGCATAAAACTGACCCTAGTAACCCTTCAGCCAATGAGAGTCCTCAGGTGTCGGTGGTACCCTCAGCGCCCCCGAACACCGCTTTCTGATGTCTGGAAAGTGGACCACCCAATAAAAAAACAAACTTTTGTGACTCTCGTCGTGACCAGAATGCGCACCGAGGGCAGGCGCCCCTGCGTCACTTTCCTTCCTCGTGCAGCGCTGGGTGGCAGGTGCTTGTTGGCACCCCCGGAGGTCGCCTCCGGCGGGCGCCCCCGCCATTCCCCTAGAGTGGGGCTGCAGCTGGAGGCGCCCGTCCTCGCGCCGCCCGAGGACGCCGCGCTGGACCAGGGGCGCCTCCCGGGCGCACAAGCCGAGCGGGGCGTGCGAGGTGCGCCCGGGGGGTGCGGGCTGCTGGCCGAGGGGCCCGGCCGGGGCGCGGGCGGGAGGCTGCCCGGGCGGACCTGGCCCTGGGCTCTCCCCGCCCCGGGTCGGGGGGCAGCTCCCTCCTCGCGTGCAGCCCCATCAGCTCGCTTTCTTTTTGGCGCTGCCCTTTGCCCTCCCGTGGAGTCATCTGTTTACTCTCCCTTCACTTCCAGGCACCCCTCGGCCACCCTCCGTCCACCGCCGTCACCCATTTTGTCCCCTTTCCCCCCCTCACTGTCCACCTCCCCCCGAGTCGCCTTCTCGGAGGACTCTGCCCACGAAGATGCTGCAGACCCCGCGGCCAGGGTCTGCTCCCCGGCGCGCCCTCGAGGCGCCCCGGCCCCCTCCCCGGGGGCGCGGGAGGCAAGTTTCCGCCCCGTCCCTTCCCCGGTGACAAGACGCGGCGGCGGCCACGGCCAGGGAGGCGGAGGGAGGGGCGGCCCGGCCCCCGAGCCCCCTCCCCTTCTCCCGAGCTCGCGCGGTCTGTGTCTCTCGCCGCGAGTGCGGAGACTCGCCCCTAAGGAGGAGGAGAAGGAGGAGAGGCGGAGGAGGAGGGAGTTG